GGGAAGGGAGAGAAAGGGGAAGGGCGAGGGAAAGAGAGTGAGAGAATAAGAGAGTGAGGGGGGGGGGTTAAAGCGAACCAAGCGGTTGGATGTTATTCTTGTTAAAAGGTAGCCGATTTCAAGCATGGCTTATGTATACTCTAACAAGGGAACCTCACTTGATAAGAGTGAAGATAATTGATGAGGATATGTTGACCAGAACACACACAAATCTAGTAGAGATATAACAGCACATTCTTTCTTGTATTATTGGTAATGGTTAAGTACTATTATAAAATTGAAACTTCCATCCTATTAACACTTTAGCCATCATTTGAAACACTTCTAATCAAACAAAGTTAGAAAAAACATTTTGTCATTGATTTCAGTATTGTACTCTATTCTTAAAAAATTTAAGAGAAAAAAATACTGATTGTTTCAGTTATGAATTTAACTCAAGTGCTTAGATTTCTGAATGAATAATCTATCCTCAAGCTACAATGGTTCACATCAGTTTGGGATGAGGGGGAAGGGACTCCTGTATAGTGTACAACCAACTTGATATTTTCTTACAAAAAATTTCATTGATAAAAATGGATACAAAATGTATTTTTTGATGACCTATAGCCAATATTTATAGTGTATAACAACTGATATCCTAAAAGACTTTTAGTCCATCAAATGAGTAAAACCTACATCTTTCTTGTTACCATGATAGAGTGAAAGTTATATAATGTTACTTGAAAAAACTGCAAATTTTTGGCAGAAAACTCTTCTTTCAGGGCAATGGCAACAAAAATGTGGAATAATCCAAATACAATTTAGAAAAAAATCCTCTCACACGTGCTGAAGCCATAATCCATGTTTTGTGGATTCTTCACACTGAAAACTTGAATGATGGCAAAATGTCTGTCCGCCCATCTTCAGTCTGCGAACAATGATAGCTACTGAACAGTTCAGCCAATTTTCTCCAAAATTGATATTCCCCAATCGATCTAGCTAATGTTGTGGCCCTTTGAATTTGACACCAATATTTTAATTTTGGGGGTACTTTACATGCAGCACCTAGTACATTTGAAAAAAAAAAAAAAAGAAAGAAAGAAAAGCTCCATTGGTTTTTGAATGTATATTGTTGTTGGATACCCTGAAGCATGTTTAAGAGAATGGTGCAGGTCTAATGTTCATTGAAATCTGATTTTTCAAAAATTGCAAAAATTCAAATTTTTTTTTGGCATTTTCCTATAACTAAAATATTAGAGATACAGATTTTTTCTCTTAATAAAATCTGTTACTTAAAAATAGATTTTGAAATAAGTTATGTACAATTTTTCGAAAATTTGAGTTTTTTCAGCATAATTTTGAGTATAATATAGACTATTTTTAATTTTGTTTAAACATTTTTTCTCCAAATTTGGCTTTATTGTTTGATGAAATTTTGTTGTTGGATAGTCTGAAGGACGTTTAAGAAAACGGTGGAGATCTCATGTTGGTAGAATAAAAATTCAAAATTTGTTTGGCGTCTTCCTACAACAACTATAAAGATACAGTTTTTTTCTTAATGAAATGTGGCCATCAAAAACAAATCTTCAAATAAGGTCATGTTCAATTTTTCAAAAAGATGAGTATGTTTTGCAAAATTTTGTGTCAATTATAGGTAATTTGTATTTCCTTTAAACAATTATTTTTATTATTTTGATGAATATTAAAATATTATATTTAATTATGATATTTTTGTATCCATTTTCATTTTCTTGCCAGGGATTTTAACAGTGCTAAATTGCAAAATATTTCCCATAGGAATTAATGGTCATTGTTGCATGTTGCAACACCTTGTTGTTATGCCTCACTGATAACTGAAGGCGATAATGATGGCCACAGTTTGTTCGTGTTAATATAAGCTAATAATTTTATTTGCGGCTAAAATACGCATCGCGCATCAAATGTACATTTATGTAGAACGTGAATACTCTGAATTTAATGGCAGACAGCTGTTTTCATTTAAATGTTTGAATTTTAAAAAAATTATTTTTCACACTTGGTTTGCTTAAGAATTTTTCAAATGGTAGTTGAAGTGTATGAGAGAAATTGTTGTTTTATGGCTATGGCTATTAGCAATATCGTGAGAAAGTACATTCTGTTGGAGCACACTAGTTTTAAATGTGTGTCATTGCCTTCTGTGATAAGATAAAACTAGTCAAGTTCAGTTGCTATGGTTCGAAACTGATGAAGTCCAGAAAGTGAGTTTCAAGACTGGTCAGTTTGTCAACTGACAAACACTTTTTTTCTGAAAATTATGAAAAGCGGACTTGACTACCATTAAATCTACCCTTTATAAGCAACCACCAAAAAATTATACAAAAGAATTTTCAAAATGAACTGAAGAGCTTGAAGAAAGAAAAATAAGGTTTTGGTTCAATTTTTTGATAATAGAATCTGTAAATTGATTCAATGGATTATGACTTGCAGAGTTTATAGAAGTTTATAGTTTGAAGATATTATTTTTTAAATGGACTGACTACATATTATTTTGAATCTATGTTTTATAAAAGAGAAATTTAATCCGTAAATAATTCATTCTATTTTGTTAAAAACTCTCTTAACTTTCACAAATACAGTTTCTTTGTTTTTAATGTATACAGATATTTCAAATTAAAAAGTGTTTCCACTCTATATATTTGACAAGTTGTTTTGGCAAGTGAAATTGACAGCACAGCAAAATCCATTGGCTTGGATTAAAGATAGTAGAAGCATGGCAGGTCTTGCACCATCAAAATGAGTTTGGCTTGAAAGCAAATACAAAAACTATTCGTTTTGAAAATATTATTTTTGTATTTATTAAAATATTTTATTAAAAGACAGGAAATCATAACAAATATTTGGAATTTTTTTATTTCAAAGGTGCTCTTTCAATGTTTTTTTAAAATACTTTTTTAAAGGTAAGTTTCTACAATTTCTGATATTTCTACAGTTCCTTCATTGTTTGTTCTTTTGGGATAAACCCAGCCTCAACAACCAACCTTTTAACAAATCATGTGAGATTCCCTTGTGAGGAATATACATCACTTCCACCAGTTATCTCAAAAGAAGAAGAATTCACATTATCAAAATTGTTTCCTGAGAAAGTGAAACATTGTGATGAAGATGATCTGCAAACATAATATAGTAAAAAAAATGAAACATATTATGGAGATTTTTTCTACTAACATTTTTTAATAGTCCGAAATCTTATAAAGCTTAATAATTTTGAAATTATATTACTTTCCTTGACTATTTCCTGCTATTTTAATTCCAGCAACCATCTGAACTATAGACTAATGATCTATTTTAGCGAACAGTGATTTTTACATTTAAAAAACGTGCACACACACACGCACACACACACACATATTCTCATAGTGCTCCACGCTGAAAGTGCTCATGACAAAAAATGACAAATTTCCTCTGATCATCACAGGAGATTTATAAATAGGATAAATAAAATGTATAATTTGTGATAGTGAAAAACAGATTTTTTAAAAATTTTGAACATATACATCAGTTCTTATTAACATGGAGAATCCTTAACGACCATAAATAATATACTGAAGTCAGTTTAAAGGGGCTTGGCCAGTAGGAGCAAAAAGAAATTTAATACAGAGTTGTTTGCAAAGTCTAATGCTCTACCAACTAAGGTATTTGGCCTGCATAGCTCTATCAGTAGACTATTATACTCGCCAAATAACCATGTTTTAAATTTCTCTTTGTTCCTACAAATCGAGTCCTGTTAATATGACTTCAGTTTTTATTAAATCAGTAATTTTTCTCCGTAACGTCCACCCCATTTCAAATGTTGCTATCAGAAATAATGTCTTCTCTCCCAGAATTCACATTTTAAAAATAATTAAGAGCTTTCTCTGAAGACTATAGTGTGTCTTTTGCAAATTGTTCAAATATAACTTTCAACAATTTTAATACCATTGACATTTTAAACAATGGGAAGAGTTCACAGGAGACAAAGTTCCTTTGGATCATTTAATGATTTAAATTTTTTGTGCTGAATTAACAAGAGTCCACAGTTTGTTTTTTCCCTGTTGAAATTTGCATGCCAGATAAAAGAGCTGAATATAATATTATGAATTTGATTACTTGCATATGAAGCCATGTTTAACATGTCATACACTAAATTTCTTGTACTATAACAATCACCTCTTTCTACCAAGCAAAGAAGTTCACAACTAGATCTCATCATGCATTTTTCACATGTATGTAGGAAATTAATCATTCCAAAGTAACATATGACAAATACAAAAAAAATACAGAAGAACAATTATGCATGATCACTATAGAAGGGAAAAATGCTGCAAAAGAAGAATGATTTACACATACATGCAAAATTGCACAATAACATCACAAACATGGGATAATTAACCTTATTTCTGCTGTTTTATCCCATGATCAGCTTTTCGGTCCTATGAAAGAAAAACAATCATGTGAAGTCTTAAAACAAACTACAATTCTTTTAGTCAATAAAACAGTTTAGTAAGTCCTGTATTTCTAAACACAAATGCCATCCACAGGTTACAAAATACTGTTTGTCTAAACCTTTAAAGCAAACATTTCCAAGCAAATTGTGTTCTCAAAAACTAGTCGCAGAACAATACTACATGTTCTTGAGAGAACATCTTTTACACCTAATGTATTATAGGTACATACAGAATACAATTAAATACAAAATAACCTAAGATAACTCACCACAAGGTGGAGTAACAGTGCCAGCAGAAGTTGCAGTACTAGTGCTGTTGGGACTCTCTGAACGTTCCGGAGACTTTCCATTAGAAACTAGTAATGGTTGTTGATGCTTCTGATTTTGTAGTTGTTGATGTGCTTGTTGCTGTTGGTGTTGGTGTTGGTGTTGATGTTGATGCTGCTGAGTTTGTGGCAGCTGCTGAGGAGAGTGAGACATTTTGTGTTGTTCTTGAGATTTCTAACAAAAGATTGAATTATTAATGTAAAGAAAATTGCTAGATATAAGTAAAGATGTCAAACAAATTAGGACACTTACCTGTCTGTGCTTTTTCTTTTTCTTCTCCTCTTCTGAGCTTAATAATTCTTGAACTTTTGCTAATCGCTTTTGATGTCTTACCTGTAACAAAACTTATCTTCAATTTTGAATTAAATGAAATTAGAATATAATATTGTTAGAAGAAAAAAAACAAAATTTAGAGATATATATCTTTATCGTATTATTCAACTAAAAACGTAATCAGGCAGATGGAATGCAAAAATCAATAAAGTACAAAAGTGGATGTTGCCACCAATAAATGGCTCTTCTTTTTTCTAACGAACATGAGAATACAGTATTTTTAGAAATATAAAGCCTAACAACAGAGAGAAATATAAGTATTTTTACATATTGATTGCCAATTACTCAAACACAAGATAATCTAAATGTTCCTTGAGAGATCTATTACACTTACACCGGTGTTTGGTAACATGGACCCCCACCATTCTGGTGTCTTTTATATGGTTTTTGGAAGAAATGTGTGTTTAATAGTATTTACAATGTAGAAATAAGAATATAAATAAAAAAAATTGCACTTTCATTTACATGTTATGGTAGATTACCAGATCCAATCTAGGGCAATACCACGAATTCCATAAGAAGGTAATTTTGATAGCAAGATGTTATGGTCAATAACGTCAAAAGCTTTTGAAAGATCTAGAAATATTCCAATGGGTGCTTCATTTTGGCCCATTGGTGAAGCAACATCTTTAAGAAAAGAAAAAATGGCAGTTTCCATAGATTTTGATTTTCTAAACCCGTGTTGTGAGGCTGAAAACACTTAGTTTTTCCTGAGAAACGTTTCCATTCGCGTATAGAAAAGCCTCTCTAATATTTTAGAGATACCTGACAAAAGAGAAATTGGTTGGTAATTTTGAATCTCATTTTTGCTCCCTTTTTTAAATAGTAGCTTAATTTTTACTGTTTTGAAAATATCTGGAAATACTCTTGTTCATAAAGAAGCATTGAAAATGTGAGTTAATGGGTGTATAAAGGCAGGTACACACGTTTTCAATAAACAATCCGGAAATTTATCTAAAGCAGATGAATATTTATTTTTTAGTTTACTGACTATTCGTAAGATTTCATTAGAAGAAGTTTTGGAAATAAAAATCGTGTAGAAATTTTTTGGGAAGGTAATGATGTTGAATTTGACAGTTTTAGTCCCTTCGTGAGATCAGCTGCAATTCTAGAAAAGTGTTGGTTGAAGAGATTTGCTACTTTTTCCAGACTACTGGCTTCTCTTTCATTGTTCTTTAAAACAACATTCTCTACTAAGTAACGAGATGATGTGGTCATATTTTTTACAATATTCCACATTGCTTTAGTTTTGTTACAGCAAGGATTAAAAGTTACAGCAAGGATGGAGATGGTAAGTCCTAGGAAAGAGGCTGAAATTATGTTTTTCTGAAAATAAATCTGTCTTGATATTTTGGGGTTCTTATTCTAATGATTCAATTATGCAGTAAAGAAAACAATTCTTTATAAAATATTTTTGTCATTAAATTCTGTATGGACAATTCTGTCGACCCATGAAAATAAATTTTCTGTTGGTTACAACAATCTTCTGTGATTAATAGACAAAATTATTGAGCAGGCCACAAAAGGCAAACGTAAGTTAAAATAATAGCAGACATTAAAATTCACTTAAACTATATGAGCAAATTTGAATTAGATAATATTTCAATAACTTGGTAAATTTGTTTTTTTTATTTACTTTCTTAAAATTGGAAGTTAATTATACAATATTTTAGCTTTCCTAGACGAGTCTTCATTTATCAAGAATTTAGAAGAATATCCCATGTGGTAGTATAATAAGTAATAGTAATAATTGGAGTTAAATTATGAATGAATGTATGCACTTAATGAAATAAGTGCAACATCCTTCTTATTTCAACATCCATCTTATTTCGTTACCTCCTTTACCTATAAAAAGGAAAAAACATCCAAATTAAATCCCCTAACCTGGTGACAGTGGAGAGAAGTTGCGAATAGTAAACAGTTTTGTGCCGTCTGGGCAACAGTAACAGGTGTCTGTGTTGACTTTGAGCAATTCACAAAAAATTAGTTACTGGAAATTTGATTTATATCATGAGAATATTTTTTAAACATCAAAGTTTCTGTAAAAATATACCAATGTAAAGAAAACATGGATCTTAAAATAGTGATGTTTCTGGCCTAAAATACATTGATGGTTTTTGCCATCCATAATATATAAGCAAGGTACCTTTGTTGGCCACAAAGCATCTCACCCCGCTGCGATGTCACTTCGCTGCATACTGCTTTGTGAAAGCACAACCACAGAAACACATAGGAACATACACACACCAGACTACCTAAAGAGTCATGAAGACGTTACCACTAAGGTATAACGCTTGCACATCAGCTATATAAGAATACACTGGAACCCTGACCCTGAAGCTGGCTTTAGGTAAAAAGGAAAATTCAAAGAAACCGATATGTCAACAGCTTTCTTCATTGAATGCTCTAACTAGGAACATTATCAGAAGATATTACCAGGAATTCACATAGTCAGCACCAGTTAACAGTAATCCTACTCCTTAAAAGCAAGCACTTAACGTCCTCCTAGGGGTTTGGAGATGCGTTGCATCAAAACAGACACAACAACCAAATTCAAAAAAGATCAACAAAACTTTTTACCATTTTTTGTTCATCTCTGAGTCGTACTTCAGTCTTCTGCCAAGCTTGTTTGAGTGCCTCTTTAACGTTGGCAGAAAACTTAAGGTGAGGACGCTCCGCCAGTGTTGAAGGAGTTGCCTGCTCTGCTGGAGGAGATGGAGCGAAGAAAGGGTGCATGAGGAGGTTGCCAAGGGTGGGGAGACCTGCTTTGCAGGCTTCTGAAGAAAGTATGGATTCCAACACACACTCTGAAAATAAATGCAAACAAAAACCACTTCACAATTGTTCTAAATTGTATTAATTGGCAACAACAGACTTCAGGAAAGAATACACTTATCCATCACATGGTATTTGAAATTAATATCTATATCAAAAAATTATTCATTCCTCTTTAAACATTACAAACTCATTGAATTTTGTATCAACTCAAGGTTAGTAATTCATCTCCTTTGTTGGCCCAGATCCCCCTGGCTAACCCTCAATATTATCCAATGTGTTTTATGGATTTCCTCCTAGAGGACATTCTTCTTATTTTCAATTCTCTTATAAATGAAACACTACACCTAATTGTTTTCATACTAATATTAAAATGATTAAATAATCTATTTACTTATTCAATAAAGAAATGTCACCAATCTGAAGACTATGTACTTGCCATGTTAAGTAACAAATTTTGCATAAATAATCCTGTAATTGGAAACAACCCATCGGTTTTCCAATAAATAAATATTAATTGAAACCATGTGAACATTCCATACTTAGTAAATTATTGTTAATAAAGTGCACCATGTTAGCAAGCCCCATACCCGCTAACACTTGGGAGTTTAATTTCGAGATTGCGCATGTGATGAGGCTCAACAGTGCAGATAATTGCTGCCCACTAAGACTCGCAAAAATTCCCTATTTCTTGTAACAGGATCTGAACAGAATGTCTTTGTGTAAGGCTCTAGTCTTAGTTCAATTCTTCGCAACTGATACCCCACCTCTCCTTGCAAAGAAAGACAAAATGCAACAGTGCCCATGTGTTTTTCCAGATACTAGTTTAATTAAAATTAATGCCATGAGAAAAGGAAAATAATAACAAACTGCACAAATGTTCAAGCTACAACAACATATACTTTCTCGTCTTTTTTTTAATTTCCACAATTTTTGAAAATTCAGAATTTAACAAAAATGAGACCTGCGCCATTATTTTAAACATTCCTAGTTCTCTCTGTGGAAAAATTTGAAGAAAAAATGAGGAGGGTTTATTGAGAAAATGATTTTCTTATAAATGTTAAACTAATGTTTATGATGTATATTAGAACAAAACTAGAGTACACTAATGTGTTTTGGTCCCCTTATTATCAAAAAGTTAAAAACATATTGAAAAAGTGCAAAGGCAGATAACCAAGATACTTAGAAAACTACGTCAATTGGATTATGAAGGAACGATGCAGAGAAATATCAATTCTGACATTAGAACAGAGAAGAAATCGAAGTGGTATTAACGAAACTTTTAAAATCTTGAATAGATATCATAATATTCCTGAATTTAATAACTTCTTTACTAAAGCCACGGAATCTAGACTTAGAGGATATTCGATGAAACTAGCGAAAAAAAGGACAAGGGCAGGGGATAGGAGAGGAAAGGAGTGAGTGAGAGAGCAAGAAAGAGAGAGAGCGAGAAAGAGAGAGAGAAAGAAAGAGAGTCTCTCTCTCTCTCTCTCTCTCTCTCTCTCTTCTACTCTCTCTCTCTCTCTCCTCTCTCTCTCTCTCTCTCTCTCTTCTCTCTCTCTCCTCTCTCTTCTCTCCTCTTCTCTCTCTCCTCTCTTCTCTTTCTCTCTTCTCTCTCTCTCTCTCTCTCTCTCTCTGCTCCTCTCTCTTCTTCTCTCTCCTCTCTCTCACTCTCTCTCCTACTCCTCTCTCTCTCTCTCTTCTTCTCTCTCTCTCTCTTCTCTCTTCTCTCATCGTCCTCTTCTCTCCTTCTCCTCTCCCGTCACCTCCTCTCTCTCTCTCTAGCTTCACGTTCCCCTCTCTTCCTCTTCCGCCACTCCAGCCTCCAGCAGTCTCCGTCATCCTCCACCCCTCTCCACTCTCCTCCCCTCGACACACTCCTCTCTACTCTCCGCCGCTCCTCCCCCGACCCCCCCCTCGTCCTCGCTCTCCTCTCTTCTCTTCTCTCTCTCTCTCTCTCTCTCCATCCTCCTCTCGGTTCGTCACGCTCTCTGCTCGTCATCTCTCGTCTGTCCACATACTCAGGTCTCCGTCTCTCTCAGTTCTCTTCCCCCCCCCCCTCCGTTCGGGCTCTCCTCCTACTCTCTCTCTCTCTCTTCTAACATCTCTCTCTCTTCTCTCTCTCTCTCTCATTCTCTCTCTCTCTCTCTCTCGTCTGTACTTCCTCGTCTCCATCGATTTCTCTCTCTCCTCGCTCGTCTCTCCGTCTTCATGTCTCTCTTCATTCTCTTCTCTCTCTCTGCAGTCTGCACTCTCTCTCTCCTCTCTCTCCTCTCCTCCTCTCTCTCTCTCTCGTCTCTCTCTGCTCTCTCCTCTCTCTCCCTCTCTCTCGTACTCGTCTCTCTCCTCTTATCTCTCTCTCTCTCTCATCCTCTCTCTCAGTCTCTCTCTCTCTCTCTCTCTTCTCTCGTCTCGCTCACATCGTCCTCTTCTCCGTCGTCTCTCTCTCTCTCTCTCTCTCTCATCTCTCATCTCCTCATCGTCGTCTCTCTCTCTCGCTCTCTCTTATCTCTCTCGCTCATCTCTCTCTCTCTCTCATCATTTCGCTCTCTCTCATCTCGCAATTCGATCTCTCTCCTCTCTCCTGTACTCTAAGCGGTTATCCCGCTCTCCGTCTCTCGGACTCATCAATCTCACTATGGATGTCTCCTCGTGCTCTCCTCCATCATTCTGTCTGCCTTCTGTCTCGTCTCTCGTGGTACTATTCTTCTCTCTCTCTCTCTCTCTCTCTCATCTCTCTCTCTCTCTCTCTCTCTCGTCTTCTCTCTGCTCTCTTCTCTCTCTCTCATCTCTCTCTCTCTTCTCTAACTCTCTCTCTCTCTCTCTCTCGGCTCTCTCGCTCCCGCTTCTCGCTCTCTCGCTCTCTCGTCTCTCGCTCTCTCGCTTCCTCTCGCTCTCTCGATTCATCTCTCGCTCCTCTCTCGCTCTCTCTCGTCTCTCTCGCTCTCTTCTCGGTCTCTCTCGCCTCCCTCGGCTCTCTCGTCGCTCTCTCCGCTCTCACAATCTCGCTCTCTCGCTCTCTTCTCGCTCTCCTCCTGCGCTCTCTCTCGTCTCTCTGCGCTCTTCGTCAGCTCCTCTCACTGCGCTCTCTCTGCTCTCTCTCGCTCTCTCTCGATTCTTCATCTCGCTCTCTCGTCGCTCTCGTCTCGCTCTCTCTTCGCTCTCTCGTGCGCTCTCTCTGCTCTTCAATCTCGCTCTCGTCTCGCTCTCTTCGCTCTCTCTCTGCTCGCTCGGCTCGCTCTCTCGGCTCTCGCTCTCGCTCTCGATCCTCGCTCTCGCGCTCGCTGCGCTTCTGCGGCGTCTCGGCTCTGCGCAATCGCTCTCGCTCGGGCTACCGCTCTCGCTCGGCATCGCTCGGGCGCTAAGTCGCTCTCGCCGTCCTCTTCCCGCTCGCTCTCGCTCGGCTCTCGCTCGCTCGCCGCTCGCTCTCGCTCGCTCTCTGCTCGCTCTCAGCTCGGCTCTCGCCTCGCTCTCGCTGCCTCGCTCGCTCGCGCTCGCTCTCGCTCTCTCGCTCTCGCATCGCTCTCGGCCGCTTTCTCGTGTCGCTCTCGCTCGCAGCTCGCTTCTCGCTCGCTCTACGCTCGCGGCTCGCTCGCGCTCGCTCTCGCTCTGCTCTCTGCTGCGCTCTCGCTCGCTCTCTGCTCGCTCTCGCTCGCTCTCGGCTCGCTCGGCTTCTCGCTCTCGCTCTCGCTGCTCTCGCTCGCTCGCTCTCGCTCGCGCTCGCTTCTCGGCTCTCGCTCGTTGTGTCTCGCTATTCTCTTGTCGCTTCCTCTGCTCGCTCGCTGCCAGGAGCTCTTCGCTCGCTCTCGCTCTCGCTCGCGGCTCGCTCTCGCTTCGCTCTCAGCTTCGCTCGCTCTCGGCTCGGCTCTCGCTCTCAGGGCTCGGGGCTCTTCGCTCGGGCTTCTCGGCTCGCTATTCTCGGGGCTCGCTCTGCGTCTCGCTCTCGCTCGCTCTCGCTCTCGCTCGCTCTCGCTCGCTCTCTTTGCTCGCGCTCGCTCTCGCGTTCGCTCCTCGCTCGCAGCCTGCTCTCGCTCTCGCTCGCTCTCAGCTCGCTCTCGCCGCGCTCGCTCTCGCTATCGCTCGCTCTCGCTCGCGCTCGCTCCTGCGTCTCGGCTCGCGCTCGCTCTCCGCTCGCCGATCTCGCTCGCTCTCGGTACGCTCTCGCTCGCTCGCTCTCGCTCGCTCTCGCTCGCTCCTCGCTCGCTCTCCGCTCGCTCCTCGCTCGCGCTCGCCTTTCGCTCTCGCCTGCTCTGCTCGCTCCTCGCTCGGCTCTCGCTCGCGTCTCTGCTGCGCGGCTCGCTCTCGCTCTCGTCGCGCTCGCTCTCTGCTCGCTAGTCTCGTCTCGCTCGCTCTCGCTCGCTCTCGCTCGCTCTCGCTCGCTCTCGCTCGCTCTTCTGGGCTCGCTCTCGGGCTCGGGGCCTCGCTCGCGCTCGCCCGCTCGCTCGCTCTCGGCTCGCTCTCGGCTC